GGGGGTTGGGGGGGGGGGGGTATAAGGAGACTGTCCTGCTCTACTGTGTACCTTTGAAAGCCTCCAACAGTTTTAGAAGTTCAGTCGCGCTAGCAACCTCCCAATTGTTTAGAAGTCTTCTGGAGGTAAAATTTCACCCTTGTTTGCTCCAAGTCTCTGCCACTGTTGCTTGAGGAGGTTGCACTAATTTGAATAGATCTGGAAATATGTCTTTGAGAGGACCATTTCCAATCCAGTCATCATTCCAAAAAACAGCCTCGACTCCATTACCAACTTTTATGCCGACATTGCAGATCAAACCAGGTCATAAGGATCTAATAGATTTCCTGGCGCTTACCCCATAAGTAGCAGAAATTTCTCTTGTGCACCGGTGTCCCTCTACCCCATATTTCTCCTTGATTACTTGTCTCCAAGGAGCCTGTTTTCTACAGAGGGAATCTCCATAGTCATTTCATTAGTAAGCTTTTGTTGTGTTGTCTCAGATTCCTGATTCCAAGACCTCCTTCCTTCTTGCTTTTTGTTAAAGTCTTCCATTTGACTAAATGAAAGCACCTCTTCCCCTTGTTTCCTTGCCAGATAAAATTTTTCCTCACTGTATCAAGTTAGGCAGCTAGGTTTTGGTTCCATGAATTTTGATTTTAGGATCATTCAATCACATAGCTGGGTTGCATCTTTATAGCAAGTTAACAACCATGACTTGAATGACCCATTGTGTCGCAACAACTTTCGTATGGCGAGTTTGGACTTAAAATAAAGTATGTACGTTGCTTATGAGATATTGAGATATGGTAGACTTCAGAGATAATCTTTTGCTATAGTAGAATGCCAACATAGTTGAGCTTTTCGTGGTTGGGAATTGGTGCATAACAGCATGAATTATTTTGCAGTTTTGGTTCATTTTGGTATAATTCCTCATGTCAGTGGCCATGGAAACATTAGATTCAACTTGATTGTTCCATGTTCATTATGCAGATCGCCTCATGGAAGAGCGATGAAGATTTTGAGAATGCTCTGAAGAAAGCTGGCTTGCTCTAAGCTGAATAGAATCTGCTGCCTTTATTGGTTAGCAGATCTCAGGAGGTTGATGCGCTCCGTAGATCACATTAATTGAGATGTTGCCTCACTTTGGAGAACTTCTTTTTGACAGTATCTGTATTTCACTGCGGTGGCATCAGCAATACAAATTGTAAATTGATGGCATGTTTTCAGTTATTTGGTCTTTGTCAGCATGGTTGTTCGTCCTGTCTTGGTAAATTTGTTGTATTCATTTTCTCCCCAAAAAAACGACTTTGAGTAAAACAGACTGGTAATGCTGGAAATGGCTTTTTTACTGTTACCACAGCAGAGGCCTAGAGTGATCCTGAAAAGCAGAGGTTATTCGTATGAGGAGCGTTGAATGCACTACCCAGCTTGGGATTACTATTGTTCTCTCTTTCTCTCTCAGGCTTGCTGCATACTCTTAGTCTCTTACAATATTGGATGCACTCTATCCATTAGGTTTTCTGTTATTCTTTCCTCGAATCTAGTTTTGAAATTTTTATTTGCTGATTGCTTTCGTCTATAACCTTCGACTTCACCTTAATTGGTTGAAAGATGTGTTAAGTTACACATCTACCAGCCAGAATGAGCCGTGAGCCAATATAAAGTGAAACTACTTCCCTTGGCACCTAGCACGCTTGGGGTGGTAACAGATATAGAAAAATTATAATTC